AATTTTTTTATATTCTAATAAAAGATTAGAAATTGCACTCAATAAAAATTTACTACCACCCAACGACTAGAGAAAAATGGAAATCAACGTAAAACGTTTTTTTTTTTTTTTGTATTTATCTTGGGGATTACAATAGAGAGACCTCGGGATTTATCACGGCGTGACGCGCACGTGAGTTCATTTATATCATGCCGTTGAAATAATTACAAAAGCTTATTAAGTATAACGGCAGAGTATTTAACATGTACATGCTTATAGTCGCAGATGCGCAAATGGAAAGATACACAAAAACTAGTCTCGTGAATTTGTCGTTAGGACAAAGAAACGAAAACTAAAGTGCGCATAGTCTCTACATACCATGTTACAAGTATATACTGTTTACACAAGTTTATGAACATAAAAATTTACGTACTGCTTCTAACTTTCGCTGATAATGTAATCAGTGTTATTTCTGATCGAGCTGTGTCATCGGGGATGAACAACACAAACTGAATACTTGGCGTGTGTATATTTTTTTAAATTTAATGTTTTATAATCCTTAAATTTTTAAATATCAGAGTTTTCTAAAACACCATTTATTTGATAAAAATAAAATTTAGCATAAGGCATATGCCCTTCACAAACAATTTCCCAACCGTACTTTTTCTTCAACTTATGCAATTAGATATTGTCGTTTTTTTCTCAAGATACACATTTTCCAAATGTTGAAAAGAAAAATTTATTAAAAAAACTAAGAAGAGTGTAAATCTTCTAAAAATATTTTAAATATTAAAGCTCCTTAATCACTTTTTACTCATATCCTTATTTTATTAACTGATTTTTTTTCAAACTTATTTAAAATAATTATTATCCGGTGGCATTGCTACCCAAATTATTTTGAACTTTTACACCAGTTTAGTTGTACACTCATTTATAATAATATATTTATTTGACCAATTTAGGACCGTTTTCTCAATGTCTGGTTAACAACTATCTGCCAGTCAAGTTCTGGTTAACTCAAGCGAAAGCAGGCGTCATGGTTGAGTTAACCAGAACTTCAAATATATTTTAAACATTGAATTTCATCAGTCATTTCTCGAAAATTCAATAAAATATCACTGAAAGTTGTAAGAACTTTTTGGAATAGTCTATATGATATAATTTAATTTAATATACTTATTGGGTCTATAACTATATTCGTGCGTGGTTTTTTTTTTTAAGTCAAAGTCTATTTAAGAAAACCATGTACAATAGTATTTTCCATAGTATTGTCCATCTACAGCTATAATATTTTCCTATCTCTCTGGAAATTTATGGATTCCATCTCAAAAGAACTGCGTCGGCTTGACGGTCAAGAGTGAATCAAGCGAAATTTTGCTACCCTATTATGATGTAAACCGTAGTCCAGTGAGGGCTTTCTGCATCGACCGGAATAAATGGCAGTCAGAAGGGATAAGATATGAAATAGAAGGGAGGTGGGAATAGGTTGTCGTCTACTGCACAGCAATTATTTGATCTTAATGTTTTGTTTCTTCTACCAAACACAGTAGGTAATGTAATAATACTCCGACGCGGTGCTGTAAAGTATATAAAATTATTATCAGCAAACAAAGAAGGTATTGCGTAAAGATAATAATATATTAGTGACTCTTCATGATAAATAAGTTATTTGAGCATATTTTTGTAATGAGGACAAAATGAGTATTTTGTTGTAAGAACAAATTCTATAAAAGTGCAATTATACGATACATTACTTCAAATGAGGACAGTTTTCGCAAATATCACAGACCTCATGGCTGATCGCCTCACATACTTATATATTATATAGGCATAAACACATACTAATATATGTTTGTACAAATTTACAATACAATACCATAATTTTTAGGTCGTCAAATGCGTCAAAACGTTTCATTTATGTTTGCTTTATGCTAAGAAAAAGTAGGTTTGCAATTGAAAGTTGCAATAACTCTTAATCATTTAATAGATAAACAAAGATATATTATATTTATAATAAAATAAATTATTTTAAAAACTCTATTAGACTATATAACTTGCGGGACAGTGTTGAGGAATTTGGTAAGATATGCAGTAAGTCAAATATTTTTAATGCTTTTTTCACAATTTATTCATATTCAATATCTGGACCAAGTGGGTAAAAAGTTTGCTGAAAAGTTTTTAAATTGGATGTTATTAGGTTTTATAAAAAAAAATTATATGTATATCGGAGAACTCTGCTCGAACTCGATTAGTTTGTACTGATATATCGATTATACCAAACCGCCAATTTGGCTTGGAAATGACAGCACATACTATACGAGTATACCTTTTTGTTTTTGAAAACATACAATATTGCTTTGTAGAGTTCTTAAATATTTCAATAAAGAGTCGATGAAGTCTGGTTAGTGGAACCGTAGTTTAAATTATTGCACGTTTATCACTACGGGATTATTTGTGTTTCACAAGGTAGCGTGCTAAGGTCCTTTTTATATCTTCTTTAATGTGCACACGAAGCCATTCATAGTCGTAAATGGTTATCAAACTAGAGTTTTCAAGACAATAGCTTAAGATTACGCCAAATTAATTGTTGCAGACAAACCCAGAAAGCAACGATTACGAAATTGACAAACTTTTTGAATGTAAAATTTAATGTCTCTGACGCATTTCGTTGTTGATTTATTGCAATTTTAATAAAACCGTTACATGGGGAGTGGGCGTGGTTATTTCTAATTTTACCTATTGTCATGCTGTCGTAAGAGTTGAATAATTTGGGAAATATATACATATATTAAACCTATTAGAAGTCGGGATCACGCCCACTTTAGAAAAAAATTTCAAACCACAGGTGTTCCTCATTATTTCAATTCGTTGTACCAAATATTTTGTATCTTAATTTGCGGTTAAGTTATGGCAATTATACTCTGTACCAACTTGTTGCAAGAGTATGAAAATATCCTTAACATGATTTTGATCGGTCAGTTTGTATGGTAGCTATATGCTATGATGATCCGATATCGGCGATTCCAACAAACGGGCAGCTTCTTGGGGAAAAAAGAACGTGTGCAAAATTTCAGATCGATATCTAGAAAAATGCAGACAGACAATCTGACATGGCTAAATCGACTCAGCTCATAAAAGTTAAAACTGTAGCAATAACACATTAATATGAGTAACAGTTGATTGAAGGGAAAAACAACATGTGACCACTCACGATTATTGCACGTGCGAGATGTTTTCCAACTTATTGCCATTATTTAAGGCAAACATAGCGTTAAAAACACTGCCTATAAAAGCACTGAGCACGTTTACCTACATTTATGCTATTTACGTATGTTTTCGAGACTTAGAAGTAATTAAATTTATTAAACCTTTGAGTACTATTTGTTATTTTTAGGACTCTATTTTGTTATAGTTAAAAGAAAGCACTGCTTGTTCGCGATTTTAAAATTAATTTTTATTGCTAACTGTAAACATGCCAAATATTTAAGTTTGTTTAATATGCTTTTTATCTGGAAGACGAGTGAATTACGCATGCTGGAATAAACCAACTCTGCTCTCTGTGGTTGTTGCTTTCTTAGTTATGGTTGCTAGTTTTGTTGTTGTTAAAAACTAAAAAAATAAAGAATTATGGCAGACTTAAATATTGACGAACTTGTTTAAAGATAAATAAAAAACATTACGACAAACAATTCAAAGCATTCCAAAACAAGAAAAAGATATTGCAATAAGTAAGAAAGTGCTAAATTCGGAGATTTTGGCAAGACTTTATATCAAAATAAGGAAAATATCGCCATGATCTCATTCATTTAAGGAAATAGGATACACTGTTATTAGAAACAGATGCTTTCTGAATTCCATTAAGATTTCTTACATATTGACCGATAGATGCGGTATAAAGTGAACCGGAGATTTGCAAATTTATTTGTTAGAAATATGAGGGCTAAGGGAAGTGTTAACCTACTTTTACCCATTTTCGGCATAAGTTATTTTCGTACGTACCGACGGAATTTAAAAGTTTGTTATACGGGAATTAGGCGTGGTTGTCAACTTATTTCGCCCATTTGCAGTGTCTAATAGGAATGTTTGTATAACCTCACACACAAAATTTGATAGAAATCGGTCAAGTAGTTTCTGAGATATAAAATTTCAGCTAATGGTGGGCGGTGCCACGTCCTTTGTCCAACTTTCACACCAGATCTTAAAAAGCCCTTCTACCATTCTGGTTGTGAAATTTAATGCTTGTGGCTCATTTATTCAGTGAGTTATAGTACTTTTAGTAGTTTTCAACATAATCGTTATATGGGTAGTGGGCGTGGTTATTATACGATTTTAGTTTGAAGAGGTGATAGAATCACTTCTTTTCGGCGTGTTAGGTTAATATATCTTATGCTGTTTGGAAGATATGTATTGTACATTAAACCATTTAGGTGGCGGAGCCACTCCACTTTTAAAAAAAGTTTAGCCCACAGTCCTTACCCCACACTTGTCTCTGTCTTTAAATTATTCATCCTAATTTGCGCCTTAATTATGGCATTTTAAAAGTTTTCGTTTAATGGTGTGGCAATGATCCGATTTCGCTCATATGCAAGTCCAAGCCCCCTTGGGTACAAAGAAATATGTGTACCAAGTTTCATCAAGAAATCTTAATTTTTACTCAAGAGTATCGTTGGCACGAACAGACGGATTGACGGACAGACAGTCATCCGGATTTCAACTCGTCTCGTTATCCTGATCATTTACCTTATATACCATATAAATAAACGTGTATCTATCTCGCTTAGTTTTAGGTGATACAAGCAACGGTTAGGTGAACAAAACTATTATACTCTGCAGCAACATGTTGCAAGAGTATAAAAATTGTAGGGTTGCTCACCAAATCCAAATCCTGTTCACAACGCTCGGCAAATGTTAAACTCTGGCAGGTATTTGGTTAAGATAACACTTTTTGCACCAAAACGTTGCGGTATACAAATAGTTTTAACTAACTGTGGTGGTTTCTCTAAAAACAATAATGTCTTTAATTTTTATTTTTTTAGGTATATTTTAACTTCAAAATAAATAAATTATTTATTTATAACAAATGAGCGTAACAACTAACAAAGCATTTTATTCTCTGTCAAGTATCTCATACAGCATAAATTATTTTAGTGCTACCTGTAAACGATCTCTTATTTTAGCAAAATAACAAAGGTACAAATTTTTTCTAAGCCAAATTAACTGAAATTTAAGTTATTCAAACATATTACAAGATAAAAAAATTCAATGCAGAAATAAATAAAAATGAGCATTTAATATTTAAGGCATATAGATAACTAAATGATAGTTAAAAAACCTATTAACTACAGTCTATTAAAATTTGCTAGCCGTTGAGCTGGTGGAGCGCACCGTCGCCGGTTTCACAACCTTCTTGCCGAGATTAATGTCGGCACTTTTATTACTTGTGCCATTATTATTACTACTATTGTGAATTGTTGTATCACTATTGTTGTTGTTATTATTATTGCCACCGCCCACCATTAATGGACGTCGGGGAGGCATACGCTCATTAACCGCATCCAGACCCTTGGCCTCGGCAAACGAAGTGATTTGCTGCGTGGCACCCAATGTTTGTATCGCTGAAATTTTTCAAAAAAAAAAATAATTAAAAATTAGTTAGTCATAATAATTTGTCAAATGTATATAATATGTTAAACGCTTACCATTACGCAGTGAATCCTTGCCGCCAGAAAGAGCACCCACCGGCATAGCACCAGTTGCTGTAAGCCCCTTCAGCGCCAGTACCGACTCCGACTCCTCTCTATTTCAGTAAGAAAAAGTAAAAACAAATACAAGTATTAATTAGCGTGCAAATGTGAATAAATGTTTACAATTGCTGTTTTTTGCTGTTTTCCAAGTCACTCACCTCAACACCGAAAAGACGCGAGACATTTTGCCAATAGCTCTGATCTTGTTTCGTATGATCTCTTTACGCAGCGCCGACACTCCAGAAACTGTGAAAGAACAAAGAAAGAGTCGAAACAAACATTATTTATCGTTAATTGATTGAATTTCAATTTTAGCCAAGCACTTTAGCGTCGCTCGAAGTCGAAGACAGGCGTTTAAGCACTTTGAAAAAGATAACTTGGCTTTGCAAATATTTCGGAATGTTGGCAAATTTGTACAAGCAGAGATGTATAAATACAATAAATATATATATTCGGAAAGTATAAGCCAAGTCTAAAACGCATTTTGTGCCTTGCTATTTACACATGTGTGCTGAAACCAGCTGTACAAGTTGTATTTAGTAGAGTTGTGGAACTTTACTAACATTTTTTCAGCGTCAATCAAATAAATACATATATACTAATTAACCGGAATTTGTGAAATCGTGTAACATTGGAAAGCAATAGTTTTTTAGAAAGCATATAGTTCTTGAAATCCTTTCACAATGATAATTATTATCAGGAAATTTTTATCAATACGTTCGAAATTATTTTAAAAATAGCTAGTAATTCTCCGAAGTGGAAATAAATTTTTTGTTTTTCTATACTTCGGTAGCGACAAAACAATAAATAAACCGTCGAAATATGGAAATTCTCGGTTAACCGTACCCTGATCTAACTAAATGCTAGTGAACATGAATGGAAATTACTTGCTCGAAGAGTAAATTAGTGTTTGTCAATCGTAATTGATTATTAATTAATTAAAAGATATTCATAACCATCAATTTCATTCCAAGCGGTTACGAACTTTAAAGATCACATATTTGAAATATAGCAAATCATCGTGTATTGACCCACTATTATTATAATAAAGCAATAATCTAAAATAAACTTATCAAAAAATATTGCTACTACTTTTTTTAAGTTTATTGAATCTAATGACTTGAGCCGAAAAATACTATCTGTTTGAGAAACTTAAAAATTAAATTTGATAATTATGTAATATTTTCAGCGGTGTATTACTGTATTCCTTCTACAAATCTTAGAGAGTTTCGAAACGAACAACTGGTATAAATCGAATAGACTATCATAATCAAACAGAAATTGAAGACAAATGAATTATTTACATTCTCTGGTTATACCGCTCTAATATGGTGTTCGCATACTTTCTTGTACTCAACTGGATAGTCTTTTTGATGTACTTGAAGACAAAAAAGCAAAGCTAAAATATTATATAATATAACACAAGAAGTGACGAATCGAAAACGATCAGATATTAATTCGATTAAGTGACAATTAGAAATGATGTTTCCTTTTGAGATTTCATAAATTAGTTTGTAAGTTTTGAAGATGGTTCTAAATAAAATTACAGCAAGAAATTGAATTTTCTTTTAGATAAATTCCAAATAACACTACGCACTAGTCAAAATTATCTACGACACTAAAAATATATAACAGATATTTAAAGCAGCAACAATTTTGCATTTCTGCAGCCAAAGCGGACTACAAACTACATGAGGCATTTTTTCAAGCGATGGACTAGACAATTACTACGAGGCATATTTACTACTTTTACAAACAGAAAAGCGCAATTCTGGGGGGCTTACCTGGTTTCGCCGCTGGTGGCGTTGCATTGTTCGTGTTCATTGGTAAAAGAACGATTTTCTTGCGCAGCTCTTTGATTTCATAGGTTTGTATGTATATATATAAAAAAAAACAAAATAGATACGCATGCACACCACAAGTATATATAGTACATACAAAATAAAGAGATTCATATTGGAAAATTAAAATGTTTCTTTTTTAAACTTTTATTCTACCAGTACATTATTGTATTAATTGTTGTTGTACAATTTGTAAATGCATAATTACTAAGAAGTTTTACTTAGCTAGCTACAACTACAAATGCATTGTTTACCCACAACATAGATTTCTACGTACAGCGATAATCAACTCACTATAACTTGGATGGAACACACTTGAGTTGCCAGAGGGTTTTACGTTTGATTTATCACCTTAAAAGTATGTGCGCGTGTAGGCACATATTTAAATAAATAAATATTATAAAGTATTATGGAGATTATTTAATAATCCCTACTATAAAATACTCGCATAAAGTGAGGATTTTAAGCACGCTTTTATATTTTGTGACATGTCGTCCATTCTTAGTACTAGATCACATTAGATCTCAAGTAATTTATATATAATATAGATTATTGCCCGATTTATATCGCAGAAGCTGAGAGAGAGATCATTACATTCCACATATGGTGATAACGGGATACAAGATATCGATCAATTTCGGTATTTTTTGACAAAAATTGTCAACTATTGGTGATTAATGAATTATTAAATGGAAAGTAGAAGTTTTTAAGTAATTAATTTTTAAGAAGTTTTACACTACACTTCGAGGGAGTCAAATAATTTAGCGAGTTCTGAAGGAATAGTCTTCAAAGTGTTACAGCAAATAAATCACAATAAGGTGAGATATCAATCGTGCTTAAAATACCTATTCAATAATCATCTTTTGAACACTATACGAACTTAGATTTACAACAATATCCATGAAGTATTAAATGCATTATAACAAAGAATTTCAAAACATTCATTTTATGTCCACCCTTTTCAATGGTTTTAACTTTTGATTTCGGCCTCTCAAGTATCTCAATCGATTTAAAATTTCTATGATTTTTAGTGTTTTTTTACCTTCTTCCAATTCATCGTCCGGACCGGACACCAGTTCGTCATCCGAACAAATATTGAGAATATTCATCAGCATCTCGGTGACCTACAAAGGAACATATGTTTCTAATATTTCTTTAATTTCTAGAATTTAATGCACAACCAATGCAATTCTCGCACTCAAATGCATAAAATATTTATAATTATGGGCACTTAATTACCTTCTCACCCACAAATGGCAATGACCACGTGAATACATCCATGAAATTTGGCAGCCAATATGGATGCGGGGAACAATTAAACTGTCGGATATTCATAACGTTGTTCTCATACTTAAGTACAGCTGCCTTTTGTCAAGTGACATTTATGTTTTGCGGTGGGTTGCAACAGCGTCAAAATAAACCAAGAGCATAACAAAATATTAAATGCAATAAATGCCACCAAATCGGATAAAGGGAGGGGTGTATAATACAAAAATTTATAATCGCAAAAATTTTTACAAAATATGAGCATAAGGTGAGACAAATACCTTGTTGTTGTAGACGTCCAAATAATTGGGCGCTGAGAAGATGGTGATCAGCGAAGGAAACCCGGTCGCCTGATTTTTGCGGTACATGCGGTAGCTAGTGTGAGCAAAAGTGTGTAAAATGGAAAATTAAAAAAAAATATTATTTGTTAGTACTCATTTCAAATCTGCAGTTTTCATTTGATTTTTTGATTTGAAAAATATTTAAATTTTTATTTGCGAGTTCACTTACCCCGCATCTTGCGCCTCATGAGCACGTACTATAGATAGCAAATTATTTTTTTGCAGAAATTCACAGCAAGCACCATAACTAGAAATATAATGAAAACGCAAATTTAGAATTATTACAGTAATGTTCAAATATTAAAAATTAGTATGGATATTTGAGAATCAGAGCTCATAATAATAAATCCTTACATATCGCGTGATCTCTTCCACATATTTTCACTGTCAGTCTTAATGTTTGCATATAAGTTTTGAACCGATTCCGAAACTTTAATGAATTTTAGTTGGAATTTTTTCAGGACAGATTTTGTAACATATTTTAGGTTATCTTCCGAGGGGCGAATAACGTTAGAAATAACTTTTATGTTGGTCGAGGCGGGAATCCAGCCCCGATGCTAGGTACTTCTTACCATTATTCTTTATGATTACTTACATCGATACTTCTCAGAAAGTTTCTAGTATTTTGATATAATACATGTTAAAGTAATATTTACGCTTTTCTTTTATATTACCTTCATTGAAAAAATAAGCAGAATGTTTCATTCTCCCGACTTGATAAAGAAAACAGACTTTCTAGCTGGAATTATTATAACAATGGATCTGGAAGTCGTTTCGAAACTATTTCGGAAATAAAAGTGGAATCGGTGTAATTAACCATCAAAGTATACACAGGACTCTACTAGCCAATATTATTCGAATCGTTACTAATGAGATACAATCCTCACTTAAACTCACCTGAAAAAGTAGGAACATCCTCTCACTGAATTATGAGAAAAAAAGTCACTGTTTTTTTCATTACCAAAATCTTCCAATGGATCAGACCAAAGCAGGTCGCACATAGGTCCAAAAGCAGGTGGCTCCCTAAATCTGTTCAACTAAAGGAAAAATTATGTTTTTACTATAAGATATTGAAGCGGAGTTAATAAAATTATTAAAAAATATGTTTCATAAGACAATACGATATGGCATGACATGATTATATTAATTACGGCGCTAATTCTAAGTCAAATTTAGTACTCAAATACAAGTAATGTCTTTCCGTTTTACAATCTTTCATCGTCGTTGCTTTTCTGCTTGCAATGCATTCATATTGCAACGAACAGCAAATCCCAAACCATAATATACTATTATATAAGTACATTGATCGAGAAATCTCTGTTTTCTTTTCAATGTGATATCAAGAAATTTTTGGAGAGCAGTCTCATTTCGTCTTTAACGCAGGTGGATGGTCGCATCTGATTAGACAAGTTTCTTGGATCGCTTGACGCACACTAAATACTGGCTTGCATGGTTGGTAATGAAGACTCCTCAAAACAATTATTACGTTGCAAACATATGAACAAAAACCGTCACACTCTTATTGGATCACTCACGAAATTTAATTAAGTGGCTTCTATATTTTTAAATGAAAAATATTTAATTGCATTACACACGTCCACTTTACTTCAGAACTTATTGTGGATTTCTTCCTGATGTCTTATCCATCTCATTTTATGAGAAATTAACAAGAGTATGACAAGAATGATAAATAAATCGCATTTTAAGATTAGCGATGTCAAGAGTAACGGATCTTAAAAAACCATTTAAGGATTTTGATAATTGTCTTAAAATCAAAAATATTTTTTTACAATATAAAAGTTGTGGCGCTACTGAATGCCGGTAATTAAGTTGAATATAATATAACAGCCATAAATGAATACTAAAAACCAGTATGCATGCATATACATATATACTATATACATATATGTAAGTATACAGTAGGTAAATTTAATCAAATATTGTGATTATACAAGGCGAAATATTGCTCGGCGCGTGGTTTCATTTTATTATTACCAACATTCATAAAACTACTAAAAAATTAAATAATAAATTAAATTCAACTTATTTAATATATATTTAATATATATAATAAATTCTTCAGTTTTCTAGAGAAGGCAGATTATTTTTCATGTCTGCTTGCCAAACAAATAATAATAAAAAAAAATACACACACTTCTACCTACACATACAAATACATACGCCAACATAATAAAATGAAATAGTGCATATTTATTTTAGACGAAATACCTTTTTTATATCATCTAGAGTGAAAATTTCTGGCGATAGTCCACCATGAATGCAAAGGAACTGTTGGTTTAGCAGCGCCGCCAATGGCAGACAGTCGAACGCGTCCATGCAGGCCTCATAAACATCTTCCGAATATTTAATTTTGCCTTCAATTTATAACAGCAGAGATTAGTAAAAAAACAACAAATTATATTATGACATAAATATTGTTGTCCGTACATTCTTGCTTAAATGTGAAATATTCTGTAAGATGACGGCATTCATGATTGCCGCGCAGTAGAAAGAGTGTCGTCGGATAGCATATCTTCAAGGCCCATAAATAAAGCACACACTGTGGAGATGGTGGGAAAAATTTATAGAGGGTATATGTGAAATATCGTTAAAAGTCGTTGCGAAAACAAACATTTTCAAACATAAAATATATTGAGTTAAGTCATTGATTGAAAATACATGTACAATGTCCAAGGTTTATTCAAAATGTTATTTATTTATTTTCAAAAAAGTAACATATTCGCATTACATATCGAAAATAGCAGAGGGCGAAACGATTAAGGTGAGAAGTCAACTTTTTTATGGTTCTCCTCAAAGTCAAATTTCAAAATACATTTTTTTTTTCAAATAAACCTCGTGGGTACATAACATAATTCAGTGTGCAAGTGTACCAACCTCAATGCTGAAATATCCCCGATCGACATAATCACCCAGAAAGAGATACCTAGTCGAAGCTGGTGGGCCGCCAACTTCGAATAGTTTGACGAGATCAAAGAACTGACCGTGTATATCGCCGCACACCGTTACCGGCGCTTCAACATCAATCATATTTTTCTCAGCCCGCAATAAGGCCGCGCCCTCGTTAATGATGCGCAGCGCAGGAGCCTCCTCCATTCGGCCTTCTTGCAAGAAATACGCACGCATGGCATCAAAATTCGGCTTCCCCGTTTTGACATCGTACACCTCGTCCATGGTGAGTTTGTGGGCAGGCGGAAGAGGCACATCTTCAAGGCAATAAAATGAATACATTAAGTGATTAGATTTTATATGGAAATACAATATGTAATACAAGTATATATACACTCTAGTAAAATATTTGTGAATATGTATGATAAGAGTGTATACATATGAAATAATAAACAATTGAAAAATAGTCATTAAATGTGGAAATTATAGCTCTGTATGTACTATGAGAATAGAAAAAGTTTCAAACATTTCAGTAATTGCATAAATTTACACTTCAATTCTTACTGAGAATAAGGAATTCATGAAAACAATTTTAATATAATTACTACTAATAGTAACTATGCCTTAATAGAGATGAATAGATGCGTTAACAATGCTTCTTAATAGCCAGCACGTGCTTATGCTATCAATGTCTCGTATATATAATATGTACATATATACACAAGTGGCTACAGAAAGTAAGGTGAATTTCAAGTTCTATCAAGCACTTTTTGTTTGCACAACAATATTAATTTTTTCGTTTTTAAAGTAATTAGATAATTTCGCTTTCAAGCGAAGTAATTTTTTGATAGAAATTAAGCAAACTTTGCAAAGACAAGTACCAGCGGAGATGCCAACAACGACAGCTGCTTCGACACGTTGGTAATTCGACGACTTGACTATTATTTTGTCTCATCAACGTATACACTTAACCATCAAATTTGTGAAAAAGACATTTTCGAAGATATGAATACATACATCGCTTTCGAAATAGGCTGAGTTAAAAGTAATGATAATCATCAAACATGAATGTAGAATCCTCAGCTACTTTGTCAAGCACTCTTTTGCGACTTCTACACGACTTTTTTTTTTTGGAAAAGATTCAGGTCTTTTGGTACGAGTCTAACATTAACACGCTTCATACCCAAAATATGTAGATGTTGAGATCCTCTGCTCTCTCTCTGATGGCAATGCGACGATATTCAAGCACTGTTTGTTTAACTTTTTCGATGTTATAGTAATTAAGAGAACTCGCTGACAAGAGTTTTCGATAACTTTACGACCTTTACTGAATGCTTTGTGAAACTTAAATATTTGTTTTTGTGATAAAAGTAGACTCCCCTGAATATAAATCCATAGCCGTGATTCTTTTGAAACACACAAAATTTTAAGCAAGCTCGTTGTTCAATTACATGGTAATACTCGCCAGATAGAATTTTCGCTTCGTAAGCAAATAGCTGTCAGACACAACCTAATTCACATATGAAGATAAAACTTCACACGAAAAAAGCTTTTGTTTATAATTCATTTCTCGCATATGTCTAATATAGTATAATGTAATTAGATCGCCATATTTTTCGTCCTAAACTTTGAACAGTTCTAAATCACTTCGAAAGATGGACATGAGATGTTATTGTGCATAAATTTTATTTAATTTAATATCCATATGGAATTGGTAGTTACGTATACCACCCGTATAACCATATCGATCAGCTTTACATTTGCCATTCCGCTGTGCAAAAGGTATATGCATGTGTGTACATAAACAAAAATTTGTTGTAACTTAAATGATATTGCAACATCGATCAGCTTCGGCTTTCAATAAGAAAAAGTTATCCAATACATGCTTTCAGATTACTGCGGGTCTCTTTGTGGCGAAACCCCGCAGGACTATTTATATTTAACAAATTTTAAAGTATAAATTTTCGACAGCCAATAAATGTTCAAAGTGCTTTGCTTGCTTAACAGGTATTAAATTTAAACAAGATTCCTACACGAAAATGATTCAGGGCTCTTGGGTTTACTGTATCAATTGCGCTTGTAATATCTAAATTTTATCTTGCCTAAAAAGATATATCAAAATCATTAATTGAGGAAGTGGCCTTTCATTTCCAGACTTTCAACGCTTTTTCAGATGTCACGTTCAAATGACATCCTTCGAATCAAAATTTGAGAAAAAATCCAAAATTATGGAATTTTTTTGTAATCAAAAATATATGTATAATATTATGTAAATATATATTTGATACTGACGAATACAAATTAGTTTAAAATACAAGCTGGCCTATTTGACAAAGGTTCCCTTCGGCCTATATGGCTATGTACAGATGTGCACCGATATGTATTAAAGACTATATATTGTTAAACGTGAGCAAAGACATTCCCGACATATCAAGAATACGCGACATAATTTGCTTAAAAATCATCAACCACTTGTCATTTCAACGTGACAGTTTTGTCATTTCAAGAAAAATGATGTGCATCCGGCTAACACTATCTAGATACCCATCATACCAATGAACTGTCATATAGCAAACGCCAAATGATCCCAATGTGTTGGGGCACAACAAACAAATTTGCAACTATATTGTATATGTATGTATGTATGTATGTACAGATGTGTGTAAGCTAATTCAAAGCGATGTTATTAGTTAGTTACATGCGGAAAATCATGTAAAAATTCGCATTCATTTGACCGTCAAATATGTGTGCACACATTCTGTGCGCCAAAAATATTTAATGCCTTCTTGCAAACGATTTAATTGCCAGAATTGATGCTAAATACCAAGAGTGAGAATGCTAAAAGTCGACAAAGCGGAAAACTATAGCTAGTACAATACGCTTGCACCGAAAATATTTATTGTTTTTAGTTTTTACAAACATATGGTAAAGAATTTTTTTGCTTTTTTTGCATTTTTAAATTTTGCCGGCGGCATTAGCATTACTATTAACCGTAAACAATAAAATTGTGCCAAACAGAAGTTCAAATACAATACTTAATAATAGCAAAACAAGTGAATCGGGAAAATATGTTACACCTTTGTTGTTATTTTCACTCTGCTATTTTTGCACAATGGTTACTCGCATGAAAACACACGTACATACATACATACAAATACCATATACACATATATATGTACGCATATATATGTACGCGTGTATAGGCTATTCGGACATGCTGCTGTTATTGTTATTGTCTGCTGTCACTGATTGTTTGCAATTTGTTTTTGTTGTCTGCTAGTAGTCTTTTGCAAGTGCCAAGATTCATTCAAGAAAATGCCGGAGCTTATAGCGCCCCGCCATCTAATGTGGTTCGTTTACGTCGTCGACCAACCTTTGTACATCGTTGATCCCATAAACAATATGTTTTGTGCACATAAACACTTGCACATACAAGTATGTATGTACATATGTATGTACACAATGGAAGCATTGATATTAATCAATCGCAGCGGTTCGTTAATTTTATGTGTTTAATACTCAGTTCCGTTGCACTTGTTTTCTCTATGTAGCATAGCATGCGGTCAGCATAACCATGTGGTCCTTAAACTTTTGCAGGGTACCCTACAAGAAACTGCTGATGGTTTTACCAATACACTCACATTTGTTATGTCAGTACCGACGTTAATTTACCCGTCAATTTACCGTCACTGTTTTTGTTCAAAAGAGACACTTACGATTTATATTGCTTACTATAGCTTTACATATGGTAGAATAAAATAGCTGCATTCCTTAGTACTGTTACAACTGACAGTCAAATGAACAGTAAAATTACTGTAAATTTTTACGATTTTTCCAAAAGCAAATTCTGTTGACGTCGAAAAAAGACAGCATACATTTCCATCGAGTTTCGGGAAGTTGTGAAATGCCTATGTAGCTTCTATTCCAAAAGTGTTGCGTGCTCCTATACAATAACGTTTTTTGTGTAAAAAAAATTAATAAATAACGAAGGAGTTTTCAAATATAATATATGTAAGTTATTATTAAGTTTTAAATAAAATTATAATTTTAGTTAATTTTCATTTTTATTTAGGCATTTTTAAATTCCGAAATTTCCATGAACTGGAGAAATGCGTACAGCAGAGCTATTGAGAGGAGGAGATGGCATCAAGTGAAAATTTCTTTTCATAATTTATTATTTAATGATATTCTTGCTGCACTCCTTTTTTATATTTATGTATATTATTATAACTAATTTTAATTAAAAGTTTTGAATTTATTAAAGAAATAAAAATTGTATTATATACTTCGCAAAAGAATTTTTCACTTGTGATAGATGTACAGTCATAACTGACAAATTGCAGCTTTGATGTATTTATGATCAACAGTGTATCAATTCCCAATAACCACGTGTTAAAGAGAGATACAAACTCACACACATACGGTTGTTTACATCAGTTTTTGCACAAGGCTCTTAAGAAAATGATAGAAACTTTGTTCTGCGCCTTAACAAAATTTTTTCAGCTGTGACTGTCATATTGCCTGTCAGTTGACTGTCACTGTAGATATTGTGGGTAGATTCTAAACACTTGCATATACACGCACACATACACCATATGTTAACAGCGAGGACTTTGATTTTTTAATACGTACTTGATTCAATTCGATGTGAGAATACATATTCTTTTACACCCAGCAAGGGCCATTGTATAGAACAACTTCATATATTTATAATACATATCGCTTAAGCGACAAAATTGTTTAAATGGAATTCTTTGAAAATCGAATACGATATTGATGCGTTTAAATTCATTTCTAACACCTGCGGCTATGAAAACTAACATAAGTATGTACTTATGTACATATGTATATCAAATGATCAAGTTTGACCCGCACTGGTTTATTTAAACCGCGCACAAAATGAGTTGCTAATTTTTTTCCCCTTTCGGTACAACCTAAGTATTTTATGTTCGTGTAATGTTGTTCTCTAAATTGAGGTCCAAAAATGAGCCGAAACCGAAAAAACATAATTCGCCGAAGCTTATAACAAGTGTATGGAATATTAGATTGCGCGTTGGCATGCTGGTATTGGCTTAGGAGCTTATCTTGAAAGCGATCATATAGATTGGTATTAAAATACGTGAAAATTATTTTTTTTATCAGTCCGCGTCAAATTTGATCAGATAATATCAATGATCATCGATGAGTGAAGGAACAAAATTCTGATAACCACTTAATTTCAGCGGACAATAAATCGAAGCGGTTAAGCTGGTAGATCAGTTGGATTCAAGAACCCAGATTGCTTAAAAAATAATATTATAAAATAGCAAAGAAAGACTTAGAAAAAGACATACGAATTTTAGAAAGCTTAGCACAGAGTTGAGCAAAAGAAATGTTTAATAAACGCTAGGGCTTGACTGCTGAAGATCGAAATGAGTACAACAAGGCATAAAAATGAGATAATTGAAATATACACATGTTTGTTGAAATACAATATTTAATTCACTAAACCGATGAAAACAAAAGCGGTCATGTAAATTAGAAAAAATCAAAATTTTGCGCTTCTTCTAATGCTTGTCTAACCAGTACGATGGCTACAAATAGTAAAAAGTAACGATATTAAATATTTGCACAAGTGAGTTTATTACTCACTCAAAAATTATTCTTCTAATATGCTGAATCACAGACTTTGCATTCGATTTCAGATAAAAAACGAATCAATTACTCTAAAACACCCTTAATCAATACTTTTTAGAAGTGGTACAAGATCGTGCAACAAGGCCGAACATCACTCCGTTTCTACGACTGTCGATATCTGAAACTCGGGTCCGTTTTCTTATTCAGCCAAGGGCTATCAACACGACAGCTGTGGCTAAAAATACAGCGCGGCAATAACTGAAGAAACAGAACCAACAAGTAAAGTAAATTACATATAAATAAACATCTCTTTTGTTCAAATTTTTTTACCATTTTGAATCACAATAAAACATAATTTCGAACAAAAACCTGTTTCAGACCACATATTCACTGTGTCTTCTTTCTGTTGAATGAACTGAAGAGTAGTTCTACTTTTAGAACAAACATTGTATAAAATCGGAGCCTTTCTTTCTAAAGTTCTTAGCTATACGTTTAACTTTTTTATAACAATAACAATAAATGAATAAAAAAATTAGCAACAGTTGTATTTAAAGTGCTAAAGTTTTGCAAAAAAATATTCAAAACTCACCGTCAACGATGCGTTCCCTTGTCTTTGTGTATTTGCTTTCTGGAGCAGGTGGCTGTTGCTTTTGTTGTGATTTTTCTGTTGTCGCTTTTGTCGCTGTGACCGCGCTCTTTTTCTTTATAGAATTTCTGGGCGATGACATATTTTTATTTTCAAATTTTGTTTTTGTATACTATACTCCACAGCGGAGATTTATTTTTGTTATTTTTATTTTTTTTTTGTTTTTGAGTATTTAATTTGGCTTATTTTTTTCGTCTGGTATTTTTCTTAAAATTTTCGATTCAGTTTTTGTGTTGGCGTTTTCTAAAATATAAATGCGATATTTTTTTGTCTTCATTAGTATTTTTAATATATTTTTTTATATTTTCTCTAGTATTTTTTTGCATATTTAATAGCTTTATTTAACACTTTTGACATTAGAACAAAATCACATACCAATACACCGTTATTTATTTATTAATTTAAAATTTCTTGAATTTTTTTTCTTTTCTTCTATTTATTTTTTTTTTTTTTTGTTTTTGCAAAATAAAATCTTTGCTTGTGTTAAATTTAGCAATTGCACACCGTATTTATAAAATTAGATATCCGATATATGGTATATGTAGGTATATACAAGAGAAGGAATATGCGATAAGTCCGAGTAAACGGAGGGCACCGTTAATGCAACACGCTAATTGTGTCTCCCATCATTTGCAACCTATGTGTGGCACATACACCTGCGGCGTATATGTACATATATTATATACATACATATATACATATGTGTACATAATATATGTAAGCATATATGCAAGGGTTTAAGCTAATTAATTCACTGACGACTTTAGCGCACATATATTTCAGTTTAATTGAATATTTTCAACACCACCAACACAAAGGACACTAGACGCAATTTTGCACGCACACCAACACATACGTATACACAAAGTATTATCACATCTAACGGTAATAAATGCAATTTAGTATGGCCTTAACCGAATTGCAATTGACGAATTTCAAATCACTTGAGTAAAATAAACGAACAGATTTTGGCAACTGAAAATCGTATAAACACCCCTACCCTTAAACATACAAACACTCGTAATTATATATTTTCATAGGCTTTTCTTGTGCATCATTTAATTTATGCCCATACAAATGTAAGTGTATTGTAAATATACGAATACATTTCTACACACACACACATACATTTGTACATAAATTCACTTCACAGTGTTGTTGTTGTATTGTTGCTTTTTGATTTGAACTTGAACTGCTTGCCTTCAAAATTTACAACGCGTTGCCAAGATTTCACTCACATTAAAGAAATAAGCAATTTTATAAATAACTTAACAAATTTTCTGCTTGGAATAAAATTAAACGGCGTTCTTGTTGTTGTTGTTATTTAACTGTGATTTTTAGAAAATCGCCCTTTCACTAGTTTTTTTTTAATTTATTTTTTTCAAACTACATTTACGGGCACTTTATGCGCTTACCTTTTCTTAAGTTTTTTACCAACTTACAAAAATATTTTTCTTTTGAAATACATAAAAGTATATTTTTTTTAATATAGGTATATATTTTTTTTTTTTTTGTTAATAATTTTTTTTTAATGTTTTTTATGAATTAAAAGTTGAATTTTCTATAAAAACTTAATTTATTAAATAGCACAAAAGAAAACCGTTAGTGGACACCACTTTTTGTTCAAAATTGTTCAATACGTTTTAACGCGCCCGCTTTTCAATCTCAATGTTTAGCGGCTGCCTGTTTCGAAATACGAATTTACGAAATTTTATGCGTGTTCCACTTTTCGCGATCGAGCATCGCACATCGACAGATTCTCGGATTTTCGTGAAAGGAAAACGCTGAGCATCTATTATCGCCCTTGAATATGTGAAATAATGATTTTTGTAAATAAAATACATTGAAACATTCGATTTTTCTCACCATACAAAATCACATAGTAGCTCTCCGTGTGTTCGCTCTCACGCTCGTACGGTTAGCGCGAAATCTGTACGTGGATACGTGGGTAGAAAATGTCTGCATACATGTTATACCTTGAGTGGGTGTGATCGCTTGTTTGATTGTAATTCGTTTTAATTTAATGACGTCGCATAGTAGTCCAGTCTCCAGGTTCAATAAACATTTTGCCATGTCTGCATTTGTTTTGGTTGATAAATGGTCAGCGCATGTACTCACATCGTTTATTTTACTAATCTGATTCATTGTAACAAAAAGTGTTGTCAGCCATAACATCGTGCTGCCTTTCTAGGCAATACTGTGCCGCATGACTTCTTGAAAATATAATTAAAATAAATTTAATATTCCGAACACACAAACATCTCTTCAAATTATTCTAGTATAAACGCAAGGATTTTTAAAAAAGACTTTTCATTGAGTCCTAGCAAAATTTTTCTCGCAGAAATTATCAAAAATTAAATCTATAAGAGTGAATGCCCGAATCATCAGTTGGCTACTCAGAGTCTAATTCTTCCATAATTTCAGATTTTTATGGTATTTGGAACCCAAGCACCTAAGTGGTTCACACGATTGCAACATTGAAATATTTTGTTTGTACTTAATTCTTTAAATTAATACATATCTCAGGTTCCAAAAGCTTGTTTTACTTTATATATACAAATTTCGAAATTTAATCCCGTCCAAGAACATTTCTATGATATATAAAAACAGAAACGATCTTGTGCTAAAACTTGTTCAGACTTGACCGCAAGCGCCCGCATCTAAGCCTTACAAATACAATTACTAAGAAAAATGTAACATATAATTATATACAGATATACTTGTATACATATCTCACATCCGATGGCATCAGTTGATCACATTGATGGCTTGAAGTTGGGTGGGCGATAAATTATTTTTTATTGGCCTCCTATAGTATCATGGACATTCCCAAAGTAAAATAAATAAAAATGCATAGAAGACAAAAAAATCTAAAAACGATATTTTTTCTCCCAAATGTATGTTTGTATAGGTAGTTTGTATGTAGGTACAATATATCGCAGTGTTTGTTGTTAATGAAATATAAAACATTAAAAGAAATTTTACGTTTTTGAAAATATACAAGCATACATATATATATCTCATATGCATACATATGTATATATGTAAGTTTATGTATGTAGATATATATATTACACACTGCGAACTTTTTTATAATAATTAATTTATAGGGGCACCGATTTAATGGATCTACAAAGCCCCCGCCAATCCGCAAACTCACTTGACTTAATTTAATATATCGCAAATAAAATCGAAATTCATTCAAATATTTTTAGTATAATCGTTTTTTTATGACCGAGTATGGAAAGAATGCTGAACTAAATTAAAATGTCCTTTGTAAGCGAGTGACAAGAAAATACTCGCCTTAAGCCTACGGAAGCATATAAAGCATTAAAACAAACTCGCCTATTTTTTCCGAGTTCATCATTCGCTAAAAATCTAACTGTTTATTTATTCTAAAATCTGTATTGTTAAAACGGCACTACTGCTCTTTTACTTTACTCTATTACTCTACAATGTAGCAATCTGGAACAGGTGCTGAATCGTGTCCGTAACGTATAAAAACGAGCAGAAAAACACAAGGCCTATTCAGGCAAAGATTCTATCCTACCCAAGAATTGTCGGCTACAGCTTTGTCTAAAGTTTATACATTTTCATATACGTACATATGCATGTACATATTTATGTATATTCATATTCATAACTCAAAATACTATATGCAAAATATGTGTGAGTTCAGCTGTATGTACATACATACATATATAGAATATTCGTGTGTCGGACATTTGTGTTGAAAGGTGAAATGTTTTGTCTTTGACGATGGAATAATAATATGTGACAATGTCACTGGCTCGACTTATTTTCAATAACAACAAATAAATACATACTTGTAAAAATAGTATATTTTTCAAGTATTTAGAATTTTCTGAAATACTCTTTGGCAGCCAATAAGCCATTATAAACATTATAGAAATTAATAGATGTGCGATTTACTTCGCTAAGATCGTGTAACTTCATTTTATTATTATCTATATTAAACTAAAAATCTTAAACTAATCGAAGCTAAAAATCTTAAACTAATCGAAGCCGCTTGCAAAATTAAATTATTTTTATTATTTAAAGCTGTCCGTCATGAAATCACATTTTACTCCTACTTTTAGGCCAATTCTTGGGGTTTAAAGATTATTCTAAATAATAAAGCAGTATTCCCATCACAACCACGAAAAAGTATAGTTTGCTCGAATAGTGTGGAAATGTCCATTAATAGATCTGAAGTGGACAGGATAAGTGTTGCAATTGAGTATTAATACTATACGGTTACTGCCTTATAAAAAAGCCTAGCATATCAATTGGTTTCTATTTTAGATAAAGCGGCTCATTTATTTTTCTTAATGGACTAGTTCGGTGAAGACAGTTTAATGTTTACATATACCTGCATATATATTCGCAAAATTTAACGTCATACATAATATAAATTTATGTATATATTTAGATATCTATGTGGCACCTAAATAAAATGTGTTAAAAAAGTCAAAGAAGCGCCCAAACAATTTCACAGCGTTCAGTTCAGCTTTCGCGCACCGCCAAAATCTTAGTGGGACGTCGGCAAAAGAGAGGAAGTCACACGACCCATTGCTAACAAAGTGGTCAGTGCAGTGGTGCCAGTGACACTCGTGGTGGCGTCGATGTGTTGAAGGAAGGCAGCCGAATTTCAATATATGTGTTTGCATGTACGTGTTTGCACCATTGTGAAGACGCAAAGATTTTGGCACATTTGATTATAAAAATCAAAACGACAATTTAAATTTCAGTCGTGAAAATTTTGAATATATGGGTAAAGGATGAGAGACATAAAATTTTATATTAAAAACGATGTCGTTTTTTTGGTCGAATTTCTTCTTCCAATTAGGGTATTTGCCGTGAAGTTAATCGAATCTGTGACAGAATCTGAAATGATATATTTTTTATAATAAGGGTTGGGTTATAGGTATAGGGTTGACAAACTGTATATAAATTACAAAATTACCGAAATATTCTTAATTGTTAATCTTTCAATCGAACAGTGCGTTTATTATTCCTTATATTGCAGTTGACCTTGGCCACCCTGTATTATTGCGACAAATATACTTTCTTGTAGACATGTATAAAAATTGTGATATTTTTGGTACTGTCTTAGTATTTTCGTCTGATTATTTATAAAAGGGTATTTTAATAGAGAAGAATTGCCAATATGAGTGAGGATAGATAGATTTGTAGGCCTGCTTTTAAAACACTTATACCTTCGTATTTATTTTAAGAAGAAC